ATTCTCTCTCCATGGTTCTTAAACAAATATGACTATATAGCTATCACATTTGTTTATCATAATCCATTTACTAAGCAAAGATGTGTCCAATTCTACATATGTGATAAAACTGAAGACAAACAGCATACATAGAGATCACAACACAAGGATACAATAACGGTTCCATATGATGTTCGAACATTCTCAGGCTTAAAAACCCATTCCGCTCTGATAACCTTGTCGATGTTGAAAATTAATCTGTATATTCACATACAGATTACTAGTAATAGATATTTTATTTTTAGATCAGTCCTATAATCATCCTGTATTAGCCAGAGGTACTAGTCGAGTTTCATGTATGCGTTGAGTGAAGGCTACCGGGCAGATATGGAAAGGCCATGTTTTTATTTGTTTATCATTTGATTCAAATCGTCAATAGAATTTTTAGAGATATTTCTACATCGACAATTCTCTCTCCCTGGTTCTTAAACAAAAAGGTCGTATTTCTGTTTGCATAGGGTGCTCACTATTTTCAGTCATGAACGTCTATTGGTGTGTATTCCCTTAGCTGATTATTTATAATTCAGCATATTTCATAAAACTATAACGCAAGCCTGCATTATATCCATAGTTTGCACGACAAAAACCGACAGAAGACTGATATAAATTGGTACCGTTTATGTTATTACAAGTTTACACCTAAAGAAGTTAATTGTCTTATTGTTACCCTATCCATAGTAAAATTTGGAGAGGTCTGCTTTTATACAAAAATGACAAACCAAACAAAGCCATATTATAAATTTATGTCTTAAAAGCCAATGACGTTTATTCAAGCCTCTTCTCAGCTTTATTTTTGGAAGGTCCGATTTGATGTTATATTCATTTGCCTCATAAAAACTCGATAAACAAAAGGCACGATTTAATATTCAAGTAAAACAATTGAAGGTTAATTTCGAGGCAATCATTGTAGCAGCAATTTAAACCCTGTTTAAATAAGAGTGTCTTCGTGTGTCCCCTTCTCTGTTAACTGAGGATATTTTTCAAAAGTTGGTGTTCTATATCTAATTCACCACTCAATTAACGTTTTCTTATAACTTATCAAAATCTCAAAAACTTAGATCTTGGGGTTTTCTCATAAAACGTCATACATAATCAACATGGATATGAAAAGCTCACCTTGTCCTCCATACATTATTATTCTAAAGTTCACTAACAAAGTGTACATGCATACAATTGCATTATATATTTGGGTGACTTGTTTAAAAATATTGACTATAATCTTTCTTAGATTATAACCAATTTGATATTGCCTATTGCCCTTTTCCCAATACTGACTCACAGAAAGTTTTAATATGTTTAATTTTTGGTCAGTACTTTTTTCAGCTTAGATATTTCATTCTCGGGGAGTTTGTCTCCTCAAAAATTATTCTTAGTTTTGTAAACAGATGTGCAATGTAAATTTACAAAGAATTTGTCGCTGAAGTCATCTTCTCAAAAAGGAACACGATATGTAAAAACCTTTTTTCTAATTGTTTTGCTTAATCTAATGACGATCACATAGGAAAAGAGATTAATTACTAAGTACCTAGGATATTTGAGATAATCACTTGTCCGAATATATTCATGTTAGGCATTTCGTGTAGATTATGCTAAAGCATTAAGTTTGATTACTCATCTATAGGTTATCGTGACTGCTTAGTACAACAAATTTACTAACAAGCGAAATACATATATTTGGTCCAGGTTATGTATACCAGGATCAAAACATCAAACAATTGAAACTTACATTTAACAAATGTCCTGAATCGGAAAAGGCAGAATGCAACTTTTTTTAATTGAAGTTATAATGTTCAAACAGACGGACAAACACAAACATTCTTTCAGATTTAAATCAACAATTGGTTTGTTTTTTTATCGTTGAATAAAATTAACCAACCAAACAATTGAAAGATTATTTAGTGATTCGCCTTTTATTTTCGTGTACATGCCATACGCTGTACAAGAGGCAAATCAATTACGAATTGGAAGATTGATTTATTGATTAATTGGTGTTTGACGCCACTTTCAGCACTATTGTGCTATTTCATGGCAGTCAGTTTAAATTGGTGGAGGAAAGCGGAGTGCCCGGAGAGAACCACAGACTTTCGGCAGAAAAACTGACAATCCTAGTCAAATAAGATTGAAGTTGAGCGCATCTGCCACGTGTGAGATTCGAACCCACAACCTCAGTGTTGACAGGCTAGTGATACAGTAGGTGGACTACCTACACCACTCGGCCACCGAGGTCTACCTTGGCTTTTTCACTTCTAAATTGATTTGCCTTTCGAACTACTTTGATTGGTGCGCAAAAGGTGATTCATGTGTAGACCAGAGACACTCTGTGAATGGGAAACGCGTCACCGATGAGACTTGTGAAGATGCTAAGCGCGTATAAGATTTAAAGCCTGTTTATTCACATCATACGTCAACAACATTTCCATAATATATGAAATATTAACAACCAGTTTGATATCCAATAGAAAAGAAACTTTCGTCTTGAGTATCTAACATATAAAATTTTGTCATTTGCATTACAAAATGGATTAATATAAGTAAACGTGTAACGTGTTTCCAAATTATATTAATAATTAAAATTCAATCATATCTTCTCGTCAATTAGTATACCAAATCCGATGCCTCGTATATGGAGACAGCAATAGAGAGGTAATATGTTTCAGTGGTTTTGCATATATTTCCCCTACATCCATTTTATAACCTGCTAAATTAATATAAATTGTTGACACAGAGATATGTCTCGCCTCTCTGTAATTTGATAGTATAATGCAAATATTGAATCCAAATGGTAATATCTAAACATGAATACTATGTAAAAACAGTCAAAGTCAATGAACTATGATTTATGGTGCAGGACCAAATAACCCAATGGAAATGGGAAATTCCAATGCTTATAAAACTGCATACCAAATACAATTGACATAAGTGGCCTTGGTTCCCTTTACAATACTATTAATTCAGAAATTATTGCGAGGTTTTTATTAATGCGAATAATGCGACTACTTGAGTATCGCAATAATAAAAACTCGCATTCTGATATCAAATACATATATCTGTATGTTGCTTTACCAAAATTCGCAATAGTTAAACTCGCATTTTTGTTAATTTTTCAAAACTCGCAATAATAAATGCGCGCAATAATTTCTGAATTTACCTGAGTAACCTAAACACAAACTTTAATTTTTATACAAAGTCAAAGACAATGAACCATGCTGAGGGGGTGTGGGCTATATTATCACTATGGAAAAGAGACTTGCAAATGATAATACAACTGCATACCAATATCTTTTACTTGATATTAGCAGTTCCTCTTAAACTGATATAATCACAAACTTAGCATGTAAACTATGCAAAACATTCAAAGTCAATAAACCATAAATGAGGGAGCGGAGCCAAAATAATTTCAATGGAAATGAAATGTGCAAATGCTAATGCTTCTACATACCAAATAACATTGACCTACCACTATTTCGATCTTCTTGCATAATATACTAGTTATGAACAGATATATGTCCACTTCTATACATGTAATAAAACCGAATAAAATCAATGACATGTTTCCATGTGCTGTTCGAATTATCCAAGCTAATAATATGAAAATAAGAAGATGAGGTATCATTGCCAATGAGACAACTCTCCACAAGAGACCAAATGACGTAGTAGTTAACAACTATAGGTATAGGTCACCGAACGGCCTTAAACAATGAGCAAAACCCACACCGCATAGTAAGCTATAAAAGGTCTCAAAAGGACAAATGTAAAACAATTCAAACGAGAAAACTAAAGGCTTGATTTTTGTACAAAACAATGAACGAAAATAAATATGATCTACAGTAACAATTTTAACAACAACCACTAAATTACAGGCTCCTGACTTTGTATAGGCACAACCATACAGAAGGTGGTGGAGTTAAACATGTTGGCGAGCGCCAAACACTCCTCCAAACCTGGGACAGTGGTGTAACGGTGCAACATAAGACCAAACTATAAAAGTCAGGTGAAAAGGACTTAACTCACCAGCTCGATACAAAAAACAAAAACACAAAAGACACAAAGTACAGGTCTGAGAGTACTCGAACATACTGAAAGGTAGTTAAAAGCTAATAACAACAATTATTAAAATCACAAGTCCATATCAGCCCGGCCTGGCATCATGTGATCGGTCTGATGTGGAGCAAGTTATCAGCATGAGTGCGTACTTACATCAGAAGTTTATGACAGAAAGATTAATACGTGATTTTTCCATATCGTCCCAGTTATCATCGCTCGACCCATATCAGACCTTCTGATTCCTCTGGGTCTGATAACCTGGTCAGTATTGAAAAGTAATGTATTAATCTGTATATTCACATAAAAATAAATAGATGACTTTCTCCATATCAGTCATGTTATCATAACGAGGCCCCTATATTAGCCTAAGCGTTATCGGGCTGATTACGTTCGAACGGCACTTTAAAATGTGTATTTTACTTTGTTTTGATAAATGTCGTCCATCTTCAGTTTTATAACTTATAGAGAAATCATGGTCTTTGCTTTGTATATATAATGAAACACAAAACTTATACCAAGCTAAAAGGAATTGGGAACGTTTTTGCGTCTTATATATTCGCTGTCGGAATATTAGCTTGGAAGTAAGTTGATATAAGTATCAGAGAAGCTATACGATTGTACACAAATACCAACCATTTTAGCGAGAGGTCTTTGTTCAAGTACTGCAATAGGGAAATCTTCTTTCATTTTAGTTATTCACCAGTTCAATTTAAACTCCAACAGTTATAGTACAAGAGGGGATAATTAGAAATAGATTTTGAACTCAACGGGACTTTTACAATCTGTGAATAAAATGGTTGAATGAAATGAATCGTTAATCACATAAGACGATAATCCACGTCAAAACGGGTGGGGAACAATTTAAATTGGTACAAATTGATCAAGTACACCAATTCAATTCATGACAACATAAGAAGTGCATTTCAGAATATTTATATCAATATTTCTGCATTGGCATGATATATTCTCTCTTTGTGTTTCACATACATACAACAGTCGCATTTTTTTATTTTACTGGGTGGACAATGTTTTCAGTCAGGGACGTCTTTTTGTGTGTTTTCCCTTAGATGGCTATTTATAAATTGATAAATAGTCATTAAACTAATAATAGCCTGCATTATATCCATAGTTTGCACGTCCAACCCCGAAAGGAGACTGATAAAAATAATCGGGATGGGACCAATAGTTTGGTGGAGATCCACTATGTCCTCTTCCATATTTGCGCACTTTATTGTCCCGTTGGTTTTCTCGAGAATTTTGATGCTTGATCTTTCGATTGTCACTTATTTTCTTGTCTAACTCCTTTTCTGCAATCCTTTCTTTCTCTTTGGCTTTTTCCTCGAGTTCTTTCTTGTGAGTTCCCACAACACCAACCCTATAAAATAGCATCATTATCATGAGGCAATTTTTAAGAGCGAAAAATATGACACCATAACTCAGCACTTTTTTCACAAATATTGCACACAACCGTACGGTTAAGTATGGACCGTCTTGTAAAACGATTGCCACAAATAGACTCCATATTTCCATCTCCACCAATTTTGCGCAACATCTTGCCGGTGCTCTTTGAGACGTTGTCCAGTCGTCGTCGTCGTCGTCGTCCGGATCTTCCCCATCGATATTACCACCGCGTTGCTTCTTTGTGGAGGTTAAGACGAGCGTAAACTGTAATAAGCTGAACGTCCAAACCGTTAAAATTGCATAACTAAATGTTTTATCGGCTCTAATTTCTTTTTCTTCAAAAATAATGAAAAGTTCCATGACGTCTGAGCCGGAACCTATATATACAAATAAGAGCTGTGACAGTTGATCACGTGTAAGTTTCCCGCGTGGCAACATCCATCGACCTAATATCAGAATAAATAGAAATCCTTGTTCTAAAACTGAAGCCCATGTATCTGCATCAAGCTTTACCGGAATGGTTATCTGAAATTAAAACAAACAAATTAATTTACCATAATATATTGATTTTATAAATAAAATTTAAATAATATACTTATTATATTCTTTTATATTATTATTTTACCATAATAGTATTATGAATTTATAAATACAATTGAAATAATATACTTATTATTCGCCAATCGTTTCCATATCACAATTGAACGATGTGTATTGTCCGTATTTGATTGGCAGTTATTCTAACGAGATCGGTTTCATCTAGCTCGATTAAAACATTTCAATCAAACTTACTATAAAAACGTTTTGATCATCTATCGGATAGTGAAATTTCAAAGGTACTTCTAAACACAGTGTCTAAAAATGCACAACATACAATAGAAACTCGTTCTTACTAATTATGAAAACACACTTATCAACAATAGGATACTGAACACTAAATGGTACTGTTTAATGACAAAAATATGTAGAAACGCGCGAACATTAACGAGCAAGGTGTTCATGTTAACATTTAGCTTCTTAATTGAGGTTAATGATTTTGTTTCTACAATTTTTGGTTAAATCAAAGTTTCATATAAACGGTGACCAAAAGTTGTATACAATTAACACAAATTAAAAAAAAAACATTAACTTGGTAAATATTAGGGTTTTAATAGAGTAGCTGGAACTTTGTAGCGTAGTTGAAAATTTGCCATTTCTTGCGACAATATTACTAGTCCTACTTATATTCCAATTCAACACCCAAAGTATGAAATTGTGTTTATATTATACTACTAGTATTCCTTGAATGAATGTAGAAGAATCCGTTGTATATAAACATGATTAAACTAATCGAGCCCAATTATCATGGTTATTTTACGTCTTAAAAGCATTTTACGTTTATGTTCGCCTATTCGCAACATTTGTTTTGGGAGGGTCAATTTGATGTTATATAATCCATTTATTTAAGAAAACTGAATTAACAAAAGGTCATTTAATATTTAAATACGACGATCAAATCCTAATTTGTAAGTAATTATGATAGCAGACAGTTTAAACCCTATGTAAATAAGGGTGCCTCCGAGTGTCCATTAACAGAAGATATTTTTGGAGTGTTGGTGTTCTATATCTAATTTCCCGCTCAATTAACCCTTTCATAGAAACTAATTATAATTTCCAAAGACTTGTTTATTTTTTAAGTTTTCTCATATAAAGTCATGTATATTTGACATATATATGAAAAGCTCACCATGTCCTCCATACATTATCATTTCACAGTTCACCGACAAAGTGTACATGCATATAATTGCATTATACTTCGGTTACTTGTTCTGTAATGTTGACTGTAATCCGTTTATTATTTTATAACCCATTTGATATTACATAGAAGCATGAATCATCTAAAGATATTTGAATATTGAACATCGGTGAACTATTTTTTTCTCAATATCATCATCATCTATTTCTCGTCATCGTCATAATCATCGTCATCATATTATCGTCTCGTTGTCGTCATTATCATCATATAATTTAAAAAAAATTATAATCGTCTCGTTGTCATGATCATCATTTTTAAATTATTATAACATGCATTCAGATTTTTAAAATTTCAAATGATATATGCTCAGTTCCCAAAACAGAGTAACAGAAGGTTAAACAAATAGAAACTTTTCTGTAAGACTGTTTTGATAATCTATTATTTATGGTCGAAGAGGGTTTATAATTCAGCCACGCAATTTTACATTATGAAATTCGTGATCTCGAATTTATCTTTTTTCTCATTGCGATATTCAGCAATGGGCATCCATTACTGTATACAAACTATAACTACAATATATATCGAACCATGACAACTAATTTTTTTTAAATAACTTTACCCCTTCAATGGCGGACAGTGCTTCTTCCTGTGAGTTGTCACTGGTATTTGTAGCTGGAGTTGTTACTGTGTTGTTGTTTACTGTAAACGACGATGACCTTTCCAGACGATCGATTTCCAACAGCCAAATGGCGGGAACGGTGTTGCATAGGTGGATGAAAAAGCAGAGACAAAACCTAAAAGAATAGCAAATAAAAATTAAAATATCAATTGTTCGTCAACAATTGAGAGGTCTTTCCTTTTCGTATTGTAAAATATATGTTTAAATAGATGTAAAATGCATTGAAAAGCATTAAACACACATAAAACCCTTAAAATATGGTCAAAAACATAAAATTCGTGATCTAGGTCATGACCCTAATCTTTGACCTTATACCCTTTATCAGGGTCATTTGTCCCCGGTTTCCTTGCCGAAGACACCATGGGTCTAGGAACTTTGGTTTAGTGGAGTTAAAGCTAATTAGTCTTTTCAGAAACCGTTAACGCGGGTTATGCCCTTACGGATATGTCAAATCTCTTCGGTCAAAATGTACCGAAGTTTCGATTTGATGACCCAAACATTTTTCACTATTGATGATTCATGTACGTATAAGGGTTTCTGAGATTTATCAAAAAAAGTAGTAAGGTCAAAGGTCAAGGTCAACGTAAAAAAAAAGCTTTAAAACACACTTATAATCCTTTAAATAAGGTAAAAACACATGATTTGCCATCTCGGACATGACCTTTTGACCTTGGTCATGGTCATTGTTTCACAATGTCATTGCAAAAGACCCTGTGGGTCAAGGACCCCTGGTTTGATAGTTAAAGCTTATTTTGTCTTTTCAGGAAACGTTAACGGGAGTTATGCTCCTTACGGAAAGGTCAAATCTCTTCAGTCAAAATGTAACAAAGTTGTGTCTTAATGACCCAAACATTTTTCACTATTCATGACTTAACAAGGTCAAAGGTCAAGGTCAATGTAAAATTTGACCTTGAGGCATTTTCAAGGTCACATGAATTGATGATCATTGGTGAAGATCCTAGGTGGCTACGACTTAAGGTTTCTAAGTTTAAGTGGCCAACCGAGATCGGTTAATTTTCAAAGGGGCATAATCCTACCAATGAGTTTAATCTTTTCGATCAAAATGTAACGAAGAACCAGGGTATGGTCCTGATCAAATTTCACCCTTCTGTTTTTTTTCTACCTCTTACGATTACGATGTATATCCCATAACAAGATTTTTAGGTTTTGGGCAGATAACTCCGGACCGACAAAATTTTACGACTCACAGGGTGAGTTCCGGATAGGTATTTGTGACACCGATACAAAGTGTGAACCTTAAAGCAACATGTCTTACGGCTAAGGCTGCTAACTTTCTCAAAGATTGGCGGAAAAAAAATAATAATAATCAGAAGAAATACAGTAAGGTCTTTCCCTTTTGGAAAAGGAAAGACCTTAATCAGAAAAAATACAGTAAGGTCTTAAGAACGTAAGTTCCTTTGTCTCGTCTGATTTCAATTTATATTTTACTCTGTACTTATCTACAGAATAAGTGATGTCAGCCTTATATCGCGTAGCTTCCGATACGACTGGTACAATTTGGACCATATACTACTTTTTGGTTTGTAATAAATATTATACAAATTTATAGCAATCATGATCCTTAGTTAAACGAAAAATTCTTAATTCCAAAGCCGTGCCGCATTTTTCATAGATGCTACGCTAAAAGTTGAGAAAGGGTTCGAATTCAATATTGCGTGCATTTTTAATTTCGTACCTACCAGTCCCCCAAAAACAGTCAGACAGTCGGACGTCAGATCACTTTCGGAGTAGTTTGATATATGCACGCATGGTTTTGGCAGTTGACCTTCATATCACGTCTTTCGTGTTTTAATTGTGTTGTTGTCTCATTTACTCCGCCACATCTCCAAATGAGGAACATTAACTTCGTATTGTTAATATTTGTTTTTAAAAAGGTCTGTCCTTATTTGTTCTATCTTTTGCATGCATTTCCCCGCTTCCATTCTCAATATATTTGTATTTAAGTTTGGTCAATCGATGTATTTAATGTGCTTTGAATTTTTGTATGAGTAAAAGGAGATTTTGGATATACGTTAATAAGAAAACAATCAATGTTACTAATGTATACAGACGTTTCCATAGATATTTTATTTTCAATGGAATTTATTCATTCCTAGTTAGCATGAAGGTGTTTTAGTGCCTACGCATAAAGTATTATAAGTTTTGTAAACAGACGTTGAATGCAAATTGATTGCGAATTGCGTAAATTATCATCTCAAAAAGGTACACAATATTTAAAAACCTTTAAATTTATTTAATTTTTGCTTAAATTAATGATAACGACATTGAAAAGATGATTTATTACCCAGGAAATTTGAGATAATCACTGTTCCGAAAATATTTGCTTTCCATTTTAAGTAGGTCATGCGAAAGTACTTAATTTGATTTCTCGGTCATAATCTATCCTGACTGATTTATACGTAAAACAAACAAACCAACAAGTGGGATGCACGTGAAAGTGTGAAAAATCATTTTAAACGAAGGAATTTATCACTCTTAAGCAAAGCTCTGATTCCTTGTCCGTATTTTGCTATACTTTAGTGGTTATATCAACTCTTTAAAGTTTGTATTAGGTTTTGGATTTTCCATTATTTTGGCATCGAGCATTACTGAAGAGACATTAATTGTTAAATGCGCATCTGGTGCAGTAAACGCCGGTATACCGTTAATGTTATTGTTTCCTTGCAGGATTTATTGCTTTAATTGACGATTGTTACCCATATCATCGTTTTTGGCAGATACTTTGAAAACTATTGAAGGAAGAAAGAAACTGTAAACAGCAAACAAATATGTCAATTTATTTTACTGAAATTGTCAATCACTCCTTTTAGGATATATTGCTCTTCACTAATGATTTTTATACATTCTTGCATTCTTGAAAACTATATCATAGAAATTGACGACAGCAATAAGGATCAGGGAGATAACATCCACTTAAAGTCGACATGAACGAAATCGTCAAATAGGAGTTATTGTCTTAAGTTTACAATTTTTATCCATTTTTGCATTTTAGAAATGTTTTTGAAAAATAAAAAAACATACAGAGAAAACAGTAAAAGGGATCAGCTAGATAAATCTGCAAATAAGCAAATAAAAGCAATTAAGGTGGAAATTTAATATCAAAATGGCATGTTATATATATGTGTCAGGTGAGCGCTCAAGGGTCTTAGAAACCTCTAGTTACACAACCACATATTTCCTGCAGTACCATGTGAAAATAAAAATAAAACTGTACAAATAAGGTGCCTTCGAAACATTTTCCTGATTTACCTTCACCAAGAAGGCTGTCTCTCAAAAGTGCGAAAGCCAACTATATATTAATACGTGAGGAGTTAGAACATCAAAAGAAACCTTGTTAAATATATTTCGACATTATAATTCTCTTACTAGTATTACATGTATTAGTTATTCAATAAAATATGCTTAAAGGTAACGTTTTTGGCAAGTCACGTAAGGTATATAAAACAAAGAATCATCTTACTAAACAGAAAGATTTCCTTTGTTATCAATAGTGTGCTTATGCAAGAAGTACGTGTATCATATTTCCACTTTGAAATATGAATACTATTCAAATCTTATCTTTTTATTTTAAACATAATCAATCTTCCAATTCAGTGAGATAATGAGACAGGATCATGGCTCTTTTGATCTAACACTACGGGTGATGATTGTGCACTGATATCATGTATATATAACACTTTTCCAGTAATCTGTAATCAGTATGATTTCATAATATGTAATGTATATGTTGGGTACTTTTTTTCGTTAATTGACCAGAAAGGAAAAATATAAATTCTTGTCCACGTGAAACGATTCTATTTCAGGTATATTTGTAATTTTACCATGAAACTTTAATTCATTGCATCACAGAAGCCTATTTGGGAAGTAGATGGCTGGTGTGCGTAGTAAAAAGGTTTGAAAACCCCGTTTAACCTCACTTGAAAATTGTCATTTTAAATAAATTTCCCGATTTTTTTTACCCCTGTTATACTTCACAGATGTGGCCGAGTCGGAATTCCATTGGATGCCACACAAATATATTTACAAATGTATACTTGTTTTAAATAATTGTAAGGGAAAACTACTTTTTTGTACACATTTTTGAACACGTAAGGGGTGTGTGTCTCTCAAACCAACCATTTAGAATTCTAATTGTATTACTTAAGTGCCATTTTTTGTAAGAATCAGGCAATTTTGAATAAAATCGAAACATGGCCGAAAAAAAACCCACCGACCTAACCATCCTATTATGAAGTCACCCTTATCATGAGTTAGAAATGGTAGTTCTTTCTTTTCTGCGTGTCTGGTAATTCCAGAAATCTATAGATAAGTTTTGGTTAGAATGATAGCAAATTACGGAGTTAACTCCCCTTAATTGTTAATTCCTAGTGCATTTCAACAAAATAATATCTTGAATTACCAGAACAGGACAAGAAAACCAATGTTATATTTGTGCATAAATTAATGTCAACTTCAGTGGGGTTTTGTTTGTCATGTTTTCACCACTGCCTGATTCTTAGGCAGACTGGCACTTAAATTTGTTCTTCGATACACAAATGTTCGTTAATAATTGAGCCTCTAAATATATACCAAAATATGTCAAAATATTGCAGTTTTAGTATTTCTCCAGATAGAAATTTTGCAAAACTTATATAAAACAAACAATAAACCCACCAATAAACGTCATAAAAAGGAAGATGATGATGATTGATTGGTTTCTAATGTCCAGTGGCAAATATCAATTGCATATTAGAACGAGGACATTTTAATGTGATAGGTAAATGTCCGGACACTGCTTTACATACTAGACCGACATTTTTAACGCGCTATATCACAGGATAACAGACTGCTTGAAGAAATGGAACCCTCTCCGGACACATTATTTAGACTCCAAGTCGACAAGTTTTTTTTCTTACTCCTAATGCGGCGTTATTTGAGGAGAAGCGGCAAACACAAAATTTCAAGTATTTGATTTGACCCGGTCGAGGATCGAACCTACAACCTCCCGTACTCGTGACGAACACGCAACATAGAAACCACCGAAACGGTTTTGATGAGTTAGATGTCCCATTAAAAAACTTACCATTTGTCTTCTTGTCCTCTCTTTTTCAAAATTCTATGTTCAAGTTCTATTATGTGTAAAATATTTCCAAGTCCAAGACACCAAAACAAACTATTTCCCTGTACATCAACAGTTCTCCAAATACACAAAAAACTGTGAATAAATAGTAAAGATCGAACGAAAACAGCTTCTACTACACTCCAGATTATGACCATCTTTAACCTGTCTTGTCAAATATGATTGTCAGTGATTGTATGTATGAATTGGCAAAATATACATTTATATATACGCTTGACTTCATTCAAAATCACCATAAAATTTATGCATGTTTTCCTAAAAAAGTTCACTGCATTTAACTTTTTGTTGTCGTACACCAATGAGATTAAAATGTCATTAGAATTAACTTGAGATCTTTTATTGTGTCATTAAATTACATTTTCAAAATATGATTACTTATTGCAGGTAAATGTTTAATTTATCCATCATTCACTTCTCCAAATTTTTTTGAGCTTATCGGAGTACACACGAAGACACTAGAAACTGTACACTTTTCAATAGCTGAGATGATATACTTATATATGGCAGATTAAAAACACTTTCATGACTTTGCATGACAAATATTTACCCTTTTTAAACATGACACGTTGGATCTGTACTTACGAATTTTAAAAGTCCAGTGGGCGTTTGTATTCATTTGAAAAAAAAGTATAAGCACATCTGTTTTGACAGATTGAATAACTGTGATAAAAAGATAAGTGAAAACCATTGATATATTAAGTTTCGTACTCATAGAGACCGTGGCTCTCACGTTTTCACAAAGTGAACGTTGTATTTTAGCTATTACAAACACATGAAACTTATTTTGAAAATAACTATGGTTATAGAGTGAGTATGCAAACGGGTCTGGATTCGAAGATTCAAATAAATTGGGAAAAAAAGCTTATTCCAAATTTTCCGTGAATTTGTTTCAAACATGGGGTCAAAGCCCGAATGTTGTTAAAACCTTGTGAAAACGATTCTAATTGACATCTTTAAAAAACAATTTTACACTATTCCACAAAAATTAAAATGTTATTCTGTACTAAACAATTTCTGTTACAGACAATTCTTTCATACATGCAAAGATTTTGGTTTGGAAGTTTGGTTGTACCTGTAAAAAACCTATTGTGAACGGAATAGCACATCCTTATTTTCACAGTGATGTTTTCTATCGAGCACGTACATTTAGATAGGATCCGGGCAAACTTATTGATCCTTTAAATAAACTTATTCTAAAAGGTTACCAATTTGACCTTGTTATTAGATATTTGAATATTGTTGATTTTGTAAACAATAAATTAAACCCCAACTAAATATTATTGCTATACACTTCTGAACATTCACGGCCCTACATTCTGTCGATAGCTATATTTTTGCATTGCACAACATGCACAATTTCATGTTTTTCACTGACTGTTTATGATGTCTTTATACTAAATCAATTGGATGTTGGATGTGTACTGATTGATATTTAAGTCTTATATAGATACGTGATTCTTATCTTTTGTGTTTTTTGTTAGTTGTTTTTGTGCTTGGTATCGATCTGATAATTAAGCCCTTTTCAACTGGTTTTTATGGTTTGTTCTTATGTTGTGCTGTTACACCACTGTCCCAGGTTAGGGGGAGGGTTTGACGCCCGCAAACATTTTTAACCCCCGCCACACTGTATATGTGACAGGAGCCTGTAATTCAGTGGTTGTCATGCATTTGTTGCTCTATATCAATTTTGTTTTTCGTTTATTGTTTTGTACATAAGTCAGGCCGTTAGTTTTCTCGTATGAATTGCTTAACATTTGTCATTTCGGGGTATTCTATATATAGCTTGCTGTGCGGTATGGGTTTTGTTCATTGTTGAAGGTCGTACGGTGACATATAGTTGTTTACTTCTACGTCATTTGGTCTCTGGTGGAGAGCTGTCTCATTAGCAATCATACTACAGCTTCTTATTTTTATATTTAGCACCTCCTACTTTATTCTGTGAACCAAATGATATTTGGGTTTAATTTGGTATAACTTAATATTTTGTCAAATCCTAACATTACAATTTTCATTGGTGTCCTTCTAACCCCTTATTTAGAATTTTATCAATCTTTCTCAGAATCTTCACCATATAACGCATTAGTTCTTCTCCTATTTTGTTTTTATCCGATTTTTTCTTGGTGTGACCCCCGTCCAGATACTCAAATATTGTTCCTTCTTACATATAATAGCGGCCAAGGCACTTCGTGTTAGTTTTTGTGTAGTATCATCAAGGGAAAATGTGTTTCAGTGTAATTCCTGTCGTTGAGTTGCTTAAAATATCTAACTGTATATGTAATAACAAACAAGTAGAAAAACTTTAGAAATTTAATAATGTCACCAAAAACTTTGATTTAGACTGTGACACGGTATTAAAATTCAACGCTGAACTGAACTGGTCTTTTGTCGTAGTTTTAAAATACGATGACACGCAAAAGGCCATTGAATATCTGTAAATTTCCGTTCCACCATTTTACATAATACCACTTCATACAAACTATGGGTTATCTAAGGTCCCAATGAAATAAGCGAGTGCATTAAATAATACGTGTGACAATTACAGCGAACCAGTATACAGTTATACTTATATATACATATTAAGAATTCATCTTGCTATAATATATAGACCAGTATATATTTGAAGACTGTATGTTGAACTCTAGATGTCTTTTGGTTGTTTATGTTTGCATTATGGATGTCCGACAGAATCTTGACCATGCTAAATGATACGTATTTTGCAATAATTGACATTTTTTGGGCAGTGACAAATATGTGACATACATACTTTAAATAAGTGAAGATTATGAAGAAAACAAGTTGTATATGCCCATAATATATAATCAGTCATCTAAATAGTTATTAAATAAAAATGTTATCTGTGTAAAAAGTTCAAATTTTTGACGGTCGGTCAAAATCGAATAAATACAACGTCGCGTAACGTTACCATTACTATTAACTGAATGCCGTGCGTAACGCCTGTGTCATTGGCGCACATCCCACATCTCCATTTATTCATATTTAAAAAAAGATTAAATGATGATTGTACTCCGTAAAGTTACTTTTATGCACACAATACTATAATGGGATAATTATGAAGTCTATATACTTAAAAAATCTACGTAAAATAACAGATAGATTTATTTTGTATATACTCGCGAAACATAAACTGTATATATGTTTTGTCTGTATACGTTTGCAAGTCAATTGCAATTTTATATTCTACTAGGTGAATTAAGTAGCCTTGAAATGAATTATTTACAAGGCACTTCGGACTATTCATTCATGACCCTTTTCATGTTCATTGACTGATTGACAAGCTGTCTCATACATGTAAATTGTCCATTCAACTTATATACATATAAAATGTCCAACGTCCATAAAACTGACATTGTATGCTAAACTTCCACACTCCGAACTTCGCTATCCGGCAAATAGTATTGTCATGTTGTACATGCAGTAAATAATTTTGAAATATTACATGTTTGACTGATTTTTTTCTATGATTCTAAATATATATAAATCATAACAAGGAAAAGTTCGTATGTATACACGATTTGATTACTAAACGATATTAAAAAAAACTTGTACGGGCCACACCAACCGATTTTAATTTGATATGATTAATATTCAATTACTAATAAAGGAAGAGTAGACAGAAATATGAATGAGCTATAAACTTTTAATTCTTTTATCTTTAAAACAATGTTAAAAGATGTCTGATTGCGCTATATATGATGTAGGATTTATGTATTAAATGTCCGAGGGTGTGGGTTGAAAATCAATATCCTTGCCTGGTAATAGCTGAAAGTAAAAAACCTTCCATAAGACGGGATGAAAATGAATACTCTGCTACACAAAAAGCAGGAAACAGTTGTGTAAAAAAGTTTTAAAAAAAATAATAAGCATGCGTAGCAACGGATGAAAATGAATAGTCAATGGTTCATCCGAAATAAAAAGCCTACAAAGCCAGCGAAAAAACGTCTTATTTTTACGTAGACGCAATATCTTCTTTTATGAATATATATGCAGAGGCAAAAAAGAAAGAAAAAAAACGATGGTGTAGGGCATTCAACCAATAATGCCGCGTAAAGTGTTTTATTATAAACTAAGACGTTGGTTTTCTCGTTTGAATTGTTTCACATTTTTCATGTCCGGGCTCTTTATAGCCGACTATACGACAAGGGGTTTAACTCACGGTTGAAGGCCGTACGATTGTCTATAATTGCATATATCCACTTCATTTGAACTCTGGTGAATAGTTGTTTCATTGGCAATCATACCACATCTCCTTGTTTATATATATACATATATATATATCGTTCGTTGCTACTTTCATGCCCTAGGATTTAAAATAAAAACCTTTTAGGGCATATATTGGAGAATATTAAAGAACCAATAAATAATAAAGAAACAATGGGGCAAACAACTCCATAGTCCAATTACGTCCAGGAAACAGAATGACCAAAGAAAAAACCTAAAACAACAGTACATCACAAAACTCTTCCAAAGTTAACAGACATCCGTCTTATCACTCCTATTAAAACTCGACAAGTCATAATCGGTTATATCGGCAGTGGGGATTCAGGGGGCGTAGGGCGTACACCCCTTTGATCGGAAAGAATTGTTTTATGTTGTTGCTTGAAATCGTCACTCAAAAAACTTAATAATTTTGCATAGCTACGCTCTCCAGTACTTTTACCATTTTTTGTATAATAACCCTTTCCTCGGACCCTGGATCCGCCCATGTAATAACTTCATGTAATATTAGTACTTGATTGATAGATGTGTCTTCTTCATCTCTCAGGCCTGAACATATTCATACTCCATCGGTACATGTAAATTCTAGTTCCAAAGTATGACCTGGCGATAAACAGAGTCACGTGGCTCTTTTCACAAAAACTCTTACGACAAAATTTGTTAAACTGAAATGTTCATGACTTCATACCTGCCAACTTTTCAAAATCTCCATGGGGATTTTAAGCGCAAGCTGCTCTTATATTGTCATTAATGTCTTTAATCTACTACTAAATTGTTTGAATGAATTTATGTGTGCATAAATACACGTTTATCTCATTTGAATGCCTGTTTTGAGGTTTTCAGTTTATATAATAAAGAATTTCAAAATTCAGGTCAACACCTCGAGCTCTCATGGGGATATCCCCATATATCGGGATGGTTGCAGTGCCCGGCGGATCCAAAAATTTTCAAAAGGGGGGACCACTGACTGCCTAAGATGGGGCCCGCTCCAGTCATGCTTCAGTGATTCCCTAAATAATCAACCAAATTTTTCCTACAAAAGAGGGGGGCTGGCCCCCTGCGGCGCCCCCTTCTAATCCGCCTCTGGGTTGGCAGGTCTATGAATTACGATTATTTTTTCTCGCCGTGAGATATTTTGTGAAATTAGTCGCAGTATTATTGTAAGATTAAATTATTTTAAAAAATATTCAGATAATTGATACTCTAAAGGTCTAGATATAGATA